AGCTCCCTTTCCCCCACCCACCTCCACCACTCCATCACTGACGAGGAGAGGAGAGGAGAGACCGCTCACTCTCCGCTAGTAGTAGTATTAACCCCTAATCCGGCTAGTAATAATCCCATGGCGTCCTCCCTCACGCCGCGCAGCCCACACCAGGTGACCCCTCCTTCTCTTCTTTCTCCCCCCTTTTCTTTCTCCCGTGAATGAATTTTTTCTTCGATTTGTTCCTGATTTCTTGGTGCTAATGGTGGCCTCGCAGAAGAAGGAGAACCTGGGGAGCCTGCGGCGCGGGATGGGGTACAACGCGCCGCCGCGCCGCAACGTCCTCTCGGCAATCAACAACGGCGGCGGGGCGAACAGCGAGCCGGCGCCGTCGGAGGCCGGGTCCGAGGCGCCCGCCTTCGAGTTCAGCGGGAGGGAGGATGTCGACCGCCTGCTCAACGAGAAGATGAAGGGCAAATCCAAGAACGACTACAAGGTCTTCCTTCTTTCCGGGTTTCTTGGTCCCGGGTCGATTTCGTTGCAGATTCGTTCGAGCGGGGGTTCCTGAACCGGTTGGATTTGTGCAGGGGCGGACGGAGCAGATGAGCGAGTACATCAAGCGGCTGAGGGCCTGCATCCGGTGGCTGGTGGAGCTGGAAGACGGCTACTTGGCCGAGCAGGAGAAGCTTCGGGGGCAGATAGATTCAGACAATGCTCGTCACGCAGAGTTTGGTGAGGAATTCTAATCTCTCATGCTCATAACTCCTTCCGTGACTGTTTGATCCTGTCGAGGGTACAAGTGACTCATTTATTATGCCACTTGCATACCCTTCTCTCATCAATTTATCATCCTCTGGTGGTGTCGAACCCGTGACCGCGTTCAGTACTGCATTATAATGCTGCTGCTTCATCTTTTGTGTCTGTCTGTTTGGTCTTTCAGACTGAGCTATTTTTAGGGAGTTCTTACTGTTCTGATCACCAGTTTATAATTTGCTGGTGTTCAACCATCAATAATGTACTCCCTCCGTCCGGAAATACTTGTCAGCGAAATGAATGTATCTAGACGTATTTTAGTTCTTAAATACATCCATTTTTATCCATTTATGTGACAAGTATTTCCGGACGGAGGGAGTAGTTCGTAAAAATGCAAAAAAATATAGATATTGCCATATTCTCAGAATCTGAATTTTGTTGGATTGTCTCTGCAGAGGCTCAGCTCAGTGGTGCGCTTGAAGAGTTGAAAGCGGCAAACTTGGAAATGACAACACGGTGTGACTCACTGGAGGAGAGCTTGAACAAGGAGAAGGCCGCCAGGCTGGTGAGAACTCCCACAACACTATTATGTATCTGATGTGATACAGACTTGAAGCACAACCTTAAGTCTCAATTTCCCAACTGGCAGCTTGCTGTGGAGTCCTATGAGAAGGAAAGAGAAGAAAGGGAATCAGCCGAGGCTTCACGGGATGTACTGACGGTCGATCTTGAAAGGGTCACTCATGAGGCTAAACGGTTTAGTGAGCAGGTAGAGGTTCAAATCATGATGTCTTTACATGAGTTTGTATCGTAAATCCTTTTGCTGACTGCAAAATTTGTGAACTAGCTAAAAATGGTCCAAGACACCAACAAAAGACTTCAGGAATACAACTCCAGCTTGCAGCAATACAACAGTAATCTTCAAGCTGATACATCAAAGAATGGAGAAATCATCTCCAAGCTGCAAAGGGAGAAGAGTGCAATGATGGAAGCCATGACTAATCTGAAAGATCTTAACAACTCAATGAAGAACCAGTTGGATTCTTCCATGGTGAGTTTTGTTTGTGACATGTAAAACTGTACTTTTCAGTTTTCAGGCTTAGTAGTTTGAGTCAACTCTTTCTTTCCCTTATAGTTTGCATAATCTATTTTATACTCTTTCAGTCCTCCCAGAAAGAAGCAATTAGAGTGAAAGAAGAACTTAGAAAAGAAGTAGAGTGCCTCAGAGCTGATTTACAGCAAGTTAGAGAAGACCGTGATCAGTCTGTTGCTCAACTGAATACCTTGACCGCTGAACTGGCCACTTACAGCGAACAGGCTAGAAAGTCTTCGAAAGACTCTGAACTTTTGAGAATAAAAGCGGCAGCCTTTGAGGTTTGTGCTTTCAGTTCATTTGGTTAATTTTCATGTGACTAGTTGGCTAGTCATTATGCTTCTTTTTTATGCGAAAGGCTTATCATTATGCTTGTCATCAGGAAACGTGCAGTTCACAGCAAGAACAAATTGAAACATTGCAGAAGCAGCTTGCAGTTGCAACAGAGAAGCTGAAGGTTAGAAAAGCATAATTGTAGCTCCCAGATTTCACAATATATTATAACATCCTTTGAAGATTAATGTAATTATTTGCTTTATGCAGCATGCTGATGTGACTGCAATTGAGGCGATGACAGGATATGAAACACAGAAAGAGACAATTAAAGATCTGGAAGAGCGCTTGGCATATGCAGAGTTTCAAATCATTGAAGCTGATAAGCTACGAAAGAAGCTGCATAACACCATCTTGGTAATACTTGCAAAACAGTGGCAACAAATTATAAACAACACATTGCAATATTATGCAGATTTCTCTCTTGGTATTGATTATGTTCCTTTTTTGCAGGAACTAAAAGGCAATATCAGAGTATTTTGTAGGGTTCGGCCCTTTCTGTCGGACTCTGATTCTAATGGTCAGGAAGAAGCCATTATTTCTTATCCATCATCCGTGGAAAATGCTGGGCGTGGTATTGATTTGTTGAATCAAGGTGAATTATGCCACTTCACACTTTTTTGCTGGTTATGCCTTTGGTTTCTTGCATCAAATCTAACGACATTATGCCTTTGGTTTTGCAATTTGTAGGTCAGAAATGTTCTTTTTCATATGACAAGGTTTTCGATCACAGCGCTTCGCAAGATGATGTGTTTGTGGAAATGTCACAGCTAGTTCAAAGTGCGCTTGATGGATACAAGGTAATAATCTTTCAATACAAAATTAAGCGCTGCCGCCATTGCCTGGTTGCACCTTGGAAGTGTCATTCATTTTCTTGTAGTAACTAGGCCATAGCAGCGTCTGTTAGAACAGTTTTTATTTTAGTATCTGCCATATTCCAATTGTATCTGTGTTTTTTCCACCACCGCCACACATAGAAACTGCAATTTGATGTGCCCATTCTTTTACAAATGTTTATTCTTGTGCTTTTGTGGTATGTGAAAAAATAGCTAACTTCTGTGTCACTGTCATCCTGGAGGCTTAGGCTTATTTATAGAGTTCAAGGCCTATTTTATTTGCATGCCTCTCCAATATTTATTTCATTTCAGTTAATATGATAGCTATTATGCTTAGTTTACCTTTGCATGGTACAGGTATGCATATTTGCATATGGTCAAACAGGCTCAGGTAAAACTTATACAATGATGGGTAAGCCAGGCCGTGATCAGAAAGGTATCATACCTCGATCTTTGGAGCAAATTTTCAAGACCAGTCAGTCGCTAGAATCTCAAGGATGGAAGTATTGTATGCAGGTTAGTCTGTGCATTACATTGCAATCTAGCTACTGCAATGATATATTATCCATGTTGCTACTAAGACATTTACACGCAGGCATCAATGTTGGAAATATACAATGAGACAATTCGTGACTTGTTAGCACCTGGCCGCTCCAGTAGTGAGATGGCTGGCGGTAAACAATACACAATAAAGCATGATTCCCAGGGAAACACAACAGTCTCCGATCTTACAACTACTAATGTGTTCAGCACTGCTGATGTGACATCTCTTCTAGAGAAAGCATCCCATAGCAGGTATGCATTGGTTGCCGAACAAAAAACTTGTGCTGAATAATTATCTTCTGAATCTGATGTGATGTACCACATTTAAACAGGTCTGTAGGTAAGACCCAAATGAATGAGCAATCTTCCCGCAGCCATTTTGTCTTCACACTGAAGATATTTGGATCAAATGAGGTAGGTCACTTCTCTCAGCTTTGATTGTAAGAAACACTGTCTGAAACTTCACAAAATCGTTAGCTACCGACAGTTTTACATCACAAAATTGAGCGCGCGCCTAATTTATCAAGAATTGCTATTTTTTTTCAAAGGCTTTGCGTACCAAGTGAACACAGATATTGAAAACTGAGAGTAATATGGTGCTTTTGATCTGGTTGCAGAGCACAGGCCAACAAGTACAAGGTGTGCTGAACTTGATTGATTTGGCCGGGAGTGAGCGGCTTACTAAAAGTGGCGCAACAGGCGATCGCTTGAAGGAAACTCAGGTGAGCCGTTCAACATGAAACCTTAACTATGTGGTTGGGATTTGGTAATAATGATGCCACGGATTTAACTGTCGTGTTTGTTGATGTTTCAGGCCATCAACAAGAGCCTGTCAGCTCTCAGCGATGTTATCTTTGCGATTGCCAAAAATGATGACCATGTACCCTTCAGGAACTCGAAGCTTACATACCTCTTGCAGGTGAGTGCACTCTGCTGCATAAGTACCCAGCATATGTATAAACGACCTGCACACTCCAAACAACTTCTTACATTGACTTGGCGTTGTTGCAGCCTTGCCTTGGCGGGGACTCGAAGACGCTCATGTTCGTCAACGTCTCGCCCGAGGCGTCCTCGGCCGGGGAGACTCTCTGTTCCCTGCGGTTCGCGTCGAGGGTGAATGCGTGCGAGATTGGGGTGGCGAGACGGCAGACACAGTCCAAGTCCTCCTCAGATAACAGTAACAGGTTGAGTTACGGGTGAACTATGTCCTGCCTGTCAACGGCCATCGTGACCTGATGATACTGCCTACATAACGAGCTAAGCTAGCAGCTCTGTGGGCCGACTTGGCCACGAGCGTGCTAGCGACGCGGCGCGGCTGGCCTCTGGTATTAGCAACATGTACAGTCAGTAGGGAGAGTGGCAGAGCATGCGCTGTGTGGCATTGAGAGCAGGAGAGAACCTCTGCTTCCTGCCACGATGATTCGTCTTCTGTTTGTAGTAGCTGATTGATTTGAGATTTATTGAGTAATGTTAACTGGCGCTATATTCTTTCTGTGTGACTTCAAGAATGAATCCATGTGCTGATAATATGATTGTGCGTCCATCAGTGTGTCTGCGACTCTGTTTTATAAGGGGCGGAACCAGGATTTGGCCTTAGTGGGAGGAACTCTGTTTTAGGTTTCTTTGAGACCTCTCTTCTTTTTTATGAAGAACAACATATATATGGGAGTTCCTGGATGCATTGTTCCAGAGTGACTGGTGAGTCCATGTTTGTGTCAATGAGTACATGTTTAAACCTTATACAAGAAAAGTAATAGTAAAGAAATCAAATATAGAATGAAAGAAAAAAGAGGAAAATGAAGAAGACAAAAACATGTAGAAGGAGCTTGCTGAGTGTAACACTCAGTAAAGTCATTCTTTTTTCTGATTAGCTGATAGAAAATATGTGATGTGTGTGCTTGCCTCTGATTGGTTGGGAGGTAGTGCCACACACCTCTCTACCTTCTTCGCCACACACGCACGCAAGCCACGGCGGCCACTCCCAGCCATGACAGCCTCATCGACGAGCCGCCCACAGAGGTGGCAGGGTCCGCATCGACGCGCGGGGCATGTATCCGATACCGACTCCACTCCTTCCACTCCCTACTATGATGACGACCGCGAGTCTACCTTCGCCTCCATCGGGTCCGACGCCGAGCAGGGGCTACAACATCTCTTGATGCTTCATGGAGAGTCTGCCTCCATCAGGGTTTGCCTAAGCAACTTTTTATTTATGCTATTGATGATCTCCATCCCCTTGCTCACCAGAGTCCTCGTGGGCGTGGCGATCCTCCGGGGAATCCTCCTCCTTGAGCCCCTCCATTCCGGTGCTTGGTCGGTGGGGCACCAATTCCACTACCAAGGGAGGTTCGGGAGGTCCAGGGCGTGCCGAGGACGGTCGTAGGGACGACGACTCATGTGAAGTAGAATACTTTTTTAAAATTTTACTAAATTTGTTTGCTGAGTGTAATACTTGGAGAAGACATCACCCCTGGCCTAGTGCGTGTGTACCAGGCAAACAAGAAAGTACACGTCATGTTCACTCGACAATGCCAAAGAAACAAATGCAATGAAGAATAGAGAAACCGGCGAATTTTCAACCGCACTTTGTCTTAACCCCTTTGAGGTGGTCGTGTACTGGAGGTGCCGAGACACGTCACCTATGAAAACGGCTCCTCCACATACATATGTTTTCTCTGTTCCTTCTGATCCAAATAGAGCCAGCCATGTATACATATATATCGTCAAACCTACGTGTACGTTATGTAGTACTCCATCTGTCCCGTATTACTTGTTGTTTAAATGGATGTATCTAGCACTAACTTAGTATTAAATACATTCATTTGAGCAACAAGTAATTCGGGACGGAGCAAGTGAAATTATCCAGTTAATCATCTGTCCCCGTTTCGCCTCCCAGCTGACCGGAAGTGAATCACATGTGACGATCAAATACCCAATCCACCTCGCACAACACAGGTGTGTTATGTTTGCACAACCTGCTAGCCCAATGTTGTACACATCCAGCGCACCAACTAGTATTGCAGAGACGGGGAAGATTATGGATGGCTCTGGCACCTATTCTATTCTTTTTGACATGAACCGAGGCCTTTTCCTTAGTCTCGAGGTCAATGAACAATGATGAAGAAAGCACCGTCCAGCTCGACAGGCATGGCACCTCTCGTCTCTGCGAATAAGACCAGGTTTATTTTCCCATCGCTTCCAAGATTTATCAAGTCATAGCGCAACCACCCTTCACATTCTTCACTACCCTTGTGCCTATGAGGCTATGACATGATGTCGCCATGCATATTGTCCTTGCTTGGCACAAAACTCTAGCATACCATCATCTCGCACACTCACAAATGAAAGATTTCCATCTCCGGCGATGCATGGAAATGGCATACCAGTGCAAGCTTGCATGAAGAGGAGGAGGTGGTGGGAGAAGACATGTGCCCCACGAGTAATGATACATCTACAAAGATTTACTTAAAGATTTAACCTTTATAGGTCTAGCATTATTGGTGCCCCGCCGTCTGCCAACCAGAGGGCGGCACACCGTTGATCACAACATATGCTATAACAGGGTTCGTGTTAGGTAAATAAACCACGTCATGTTCAGTCATGGCATGTGTGTTGCGCGCTATGACGTGCGTGTTTTTTTGAGTCCGTAACACGTACTTATGTGTGTGAGTGTCCTGGTGGTGCGTGAGTCTTGTGCTCGCGTTCGTGTCCACCGTCTAGGTCAGTTCGGGGCTGGGCACTAGTGTGTGGGCACTCGTGTTGAAGTTCAGCTTGCCGCGTACTCTGTTGTGATCTGTTGGAGGTACACGTGGCCGGAGTCGAGCAGCGGAGTGCTGGCTGGGTCATGCGTTAGTGACCGGCGTGGTCTACGTGCATGGAGTCAGTGCATGGATGGGTTAGTTATTTAGTGGGCTAATTCGGCGAAAAAAAACATTGCTCTGTGCTTCTTCTTCTACCTCCGTCCGAGAGAGAGAGCACGAGTCTAGGGCTCAGCTCCAACAGTTCGTCGGCCAGTGTAGGCAGCAGGGCGCAGACGAGGAGGAGACCACGGCGCGACACATGTGGCATGGCGAAGTTGAAGAGCCCATCATGGTTGTCGAGGAACGAGTCAATAGTGAGGCGAGCACTGCCGGCCTGGAGACTGAAGAACCGCTGGGGGTGGCGGGGTTCCGTACTTAGGAGTTGAACGTGTCGCCGAGGGAGGGATACTGTTGAGATATAGATAATATATGTGTATTTCTTGTACAATAAGCCCTTCTCCTTCCATGTATAGTTGAGGACCAGGGCCGTCTTCAGAAATTCGGGACCCTGGGCGAAAACCAAAATGTGGCCTAAAATTTCGAACAATTCACATAACATAAGTAGTATTAGTACGCGCACATCATACTCTCACTTTATTATATAATTTTGAGTCCGTTTTATTTGTACCTTATTTAGGCATATATCAAATAGTAATGTTAAAAAGGTAAAGGGATTGCAAAGCAATGAACAAACCTCATGTTCTACCAAATAGGAGCATCTGTCTAATATTTCTTGAAATAAAATCTTCACATGTATCTTACGCTCTTCAGAACCATATTCATGCTTCCTAATTCTAGTAGATATGGTGAAGATTCAGAAACAAAACCTAACAAATTATAAGTGACCATTGATCAAACATAATCTAATTAGTTTCTAATAGTGTCGATTGCTAGATGACTAGATCATTCAAATACAAAGAAAATGAATTGAAAAAAGAACCTTGCTTTTGGAGATTAGAACATAGTCAGTAGTTTGGCCTGATGTGTTCCTCAATCCTGATTGAAGCAACGAACGGATCCGCAGTCCATACTGTTGCATCTTCACACAGTAAGACGACCAGCAATGGATTGGATCGGAGGTGACTGCACTGCCGCCGACACGACTTCTAGGGCCGCGTGTAGGGCGAGGGTTTGGTGCTTTGTCAATCCCGGATCGCCGGTCGCGAGACCGAGACGGCAGTTCGCTCTAGCGATCTGTATCCAGTGTTTCGGTGGGCCTCTAACCTTCTTTTTTTTCTCTGTAAATATATGTTATTTGGGCCTCTATAAGTAGCAGCCCGGATGCCCCGTCTGCAGGAAAGACACCATGTAAATCTAGTCAACACAGATACTTCAGTTTTTAGTTTTTCTAGCGATCTTTCAGCGGAAGGAGGCATCAAGCGGATTTTCTCTCGATGAAGGCCCCACGATTTTGGGGGCCCTGTGCGGTCGCTCACCTCGCTCCCCCTCATCGACGGGCCTGTTGAGGACGTGACTACCTCTTGTACTTATATATACGTGCATATTGCACCCGATCAATATATCGTGAGTTGCATAATTCTCTACATAGTATCAGCCTTAGTACGATCTCTCCTACCCTAGCGCGTCGTCGTCGCCTCCCAGCCGCCGCTGCTTCCCAAGCTACGCCCCGCGTCGCCGAGTTCTCGCCGCCACCGTAGCTTCTCCCACGCGCCGTAGGCTCCCTGCCGCCGCCCCCACTCGCGATCACCTTCCCATGCCGTCGCTAGCCGCCAGCCTTCTCGCCGCTAGCCGCACGCCTCCCGAACCCTAACCCTCGCTACCCCGCTGCCATCCAGCCCCGCCACCTCCCATCTACCAGAAACCCTAACCCGCCCCGGCCGCACCTAACCCTAGCCGCTGCCATGTCGGGTTCCAATCTCTCCGACCGGTCCGCCGCCTCCACTCCTCCCGTAGTGAAGCCGCCGAACCCCTTCGACTCCTCCACCGCCACCCTTCCCGATCCCGCCTACATCCGCGATGTTCCCATCGAACGTCGCATCCCGGTGATCCTCTCCCACAAAGAGGCGAATTTTTATGCTTGGAAGACATACTTCAATCTCCTCTTTCGTGAGTATAATCTGCAGGACCACATCGACGGCACCGCCAACTTCTTCGTCCTGAACCGTGATGCCGACTGGCTGGCGATCGATGCCACCATCATCCGATGGCTCTTCCTCACCGTGTCCAAGGACATCTTCCACACCGTCGTTCGCTACAAGGATGATGCATGCACGGTGTGGAGCAAGATCGTCGGTCTTTTCACCAACAACAAGCTCCAACGGATCGTCTTCCTACAGTAGGAGTTTCCCGGGTGTCATCAAAACGACTCCTCCGTCGACGACTACTGCATGCGCCTCAAGACCCTCTCCGACGAGCTCAATGACATCGGCTTCAAGGTGG